TTTTCGTGGGCTGAAAATTGTCTCGAGTTATTGCTCGCAGCCACTGTTTTAACAACCCATCGTCTTTTGGGAAACTGAACACACTCACTGTTGATTTTCCACTATAATTTCCTTTGCACTTGAGTACACAGCACTTATAGGGCATTTTACAATATTTATTTAAAAAACACAGATATAAAACACTCAAAACACACTTTGGAGCTTAATTTTAGAGCCTGCAATCGATTACAATCACCGTTAGCAAACTTACGAACCACTAGACATCACGAAACACAGCATCTTCTGTGTTATGTGCGCTGTGCCGCTGTATCAATACGGTGTCGCTGTGTCAACACCTGAAACGCCACTGTGTTACCTAGGCCTATCAAAAACTCCCCAAAAATTCCACATGCTATCGCTCCAGATACGTCCTGTACACGAACGGCGAGAAGCAGGTTTATAGTCATACTCAAACTGACTGGTTGAGGCAAAGCATTTGGGACCCCTTGAAGGAAGACATGCTGTTGGTGCATGGATATGCTGGAGGCGACGACACTTTACCAATTAACGTCCTGAGAGATGGTAAGAGGAACAGGTCCAATTGGAGCGAAGTTTCCTAAGTTTCTCCTGCAGCGTACATTCGGAATGGCTCCTACAACACCTGGGTGCTCGACTGGGGGGCCCTGGGCGAAGCCCCCTGCTACCGGGCGGCTGTAAGCAACATGCGGGCGGTGGCTAGATGTACCGGAGACTTTCTGACCATGCTCAGAACCGCCGGATTGCCTACGGAAAAACTCACCTGCGTAGGGCATTCGTTGGGTGAGCCATTTGGGCTGCAAAACTTGGCTCTGCCCCTCAACCTGCAATGTTCCAGGCGCTCACATATGCGGCTTGATTTCCAAGTACGTGCTGTTCCGAATGCACCGGATCGTCGCTCTGGACCCAGCCAGGCCGTTGATCACCAACCAAGTGAAGCTGAATTCTGGAGACGCTGCAGCTGTCCATGTGCTGCATACGAACGCAGGCCACTATGGGGAGGGCGGGCGTGGTGGGCATGTGGATTTTTGCATCAACGGAGGCCGAATCCAGCCCTATTGCGAAAATGGCGATAGTAAGTGATCCTGATCCTGATCCTGATGGCCTCAACGGGGAGCCTAAACGAGTAGAATTCATTGTTTAGTTGATGCCCAGTTGTGCAGCCATATTTGGGCGATTTGCTACATGGCGGAGAGTTTGGTGCCTCATTTGCAGAAGAAGGCGGAACCATGCGCGAGGAGGTGCCCATCGGGGCCCAGGCCTGGCAACAGAGTGGGCATCCCAATGATGATGGGCCAGTCCACTCCTCTGACGTAAGTCTCAACATTTTGCAACTAAATCCTCTACTAAAATTGTCTACTCCTTAGAGCTGCAGGCTCTTATTGCATACACGATAAGGAGCCTCCCTACTGCCCGAAGAAAGCTGGCCACATTGGCGACTCCAGATGCTGCTTGAAGCCCCCAGAATCTCCGCCTCCTGCAAGGCGCTTTTGGGGCTGATGGGGCGTGGAATTACCCAATTTTTGTACATATAGCGGGAATTTACATTACGGAGACTTAAGTAGGTATATGGGGTGATTTGTTCATGGACCTGGATGGCTTGGGGGGTGGAGGATGGAGCAAACTAATCGTTTTCTCGGGGAGTTGAGGGGAAAACAGACTGCAGTCCAGTGCGCATTTATAGATGTAAAATGAATAAATTTCTGTTTTTACTTGGTTGTTGGTGTTTTTGTTCTGGCAAACTCGCCAATGGAAGTGGTTTTGGTATTGGAAAACTTCCAGTGKGWCCCAAAGCGATTTGTCAGCAATTTTTTGCAGAAAATTCAGKKTYTTTCTATTCACCTRAGAGCTAAGTGCTTGTAGCCATTCTGCGGAAAATGTTTGGCAGTTTTGATTGAAAAATGCTRCAAAATTTACTCAAAAACATGGGAATTGASGAAACTGAATCAGAAGTTTTCCTGATGYATTCCTCTGCAGTTYCGTCCTCTAGAGAACTTTTCGATATTTAAAAACGCGTTGAAAGTCTCAAAACTATTCCATTTATCCACAAAAACTTTTGATGCGTGTTTTTGCATTTTAAAATTCTAGTTTTCTAAATAAAATCATCGCAAGTATGGTCTGATTTTTTTTGCAAAAAGTGTCGACAGCAATTTGTRTTTCCATTGAACAAGAGCCAAAGATTTGTTAGAAAATGKGGCTTTTTTYTGGAGTTAGAGCTCAGACTCTGTTAACGACAGAWAAGTAATAAAATTTTGAACGAAAATGTAAGTGGAAACACGAAAAACCTTGTTGTCCCGGGTGTTTCTGAGTAACAATTTAATAAACAACTTTTCTATATTTTTTTCTCCATGAATGACCTAAGCGAGAGTCACGCCTACACTGTTCAAGCAAACCACTTCTGAAGATGCAAGCGACTTGTGCTTGCGAAACGTCAGGAAGCAATTCTACCGAACCATGGCCTAAACACCCTAAAAACCCATTAGTATCAAGGAATGACCTCAAAAGTTTATTTCTGTTGATGAAACTTGATGTTTAAGTTAGACTGCGAAGGTGAATCGAATTACCTAATCCTGCAATTTATTTGATTTGTGTTTAACTAGGACCCAACCTTTTTTATAAGAGCCAATTTAATTGGTTGTGGGATTTAAATGCTTTTCCTGTTTTCTTCTGGGCGAGTTCGGCGACGGCAGAATGCACACAGCAAATTTGTCTATACCTGTCCTTGTCGGTGCAGCCGCACAACGCAACAAACAAAGCGAGACAAATTGATCGCTCCAGCTGCGTTTCTCTCGCGTCGGAATATGCCTGTTCTTGTCTGCAGCATTGCGTCAAACCGCCAAGGTGATGCAAGGGCATTGCCAAACTGCCCTAGACCTGATTTTGGTTGCACTTTTAGTATTTTCTAGGCTGTTTTAGTTTTTTTGAAAAAAAAATCAGTGTTCATTATTAAACGGTTTTTTTCTTAAAGAAGCGATTATCACAAGTATGACCATTAAAGACTCATCGTTACAATTAAAATCCAAGAGAAATCAATTCAATAAGAGATAGACTTTCGAAGCCATTCCTTGAAACTAATGGGTTTTTCGGGTTTTTAGGCCGTCGTTCGGTAGAATTTCTTCTTGACGTTTCGCAAGCACGAATGGCTTGCATCTT